AAAGCAAAGCATTGCATAAATGACGTTGCGGTACTTTTTATTAGCATAATGATCAAAGTTATATTTACATTGTAACTTCAGTACGTTTCCCAAAGCGCTATTTATCCAATCATCCAAAAGAACAACAACTAACACGAGCAGGCCGCAACTGAGCGCTATAAAAAACCATTTACAAATAGCGAGGCATTCGCATCGTGATAACGAAAAAGATTTACGTATCAAATAAGTTTGAAATTCTATCCTTGTTAATGGCACAACAAAATCACAAAGACCGCGATTCTTCCTCTCACGATCTAAACTTTGCAATACGGGGGTTATGTAAATATTATCTTCATCTTTTTTAGTTAAATAATCTTTATTGTAACGGTAAGCTTCTGAGATGAACAGTAATGACAAGAAAGGCATAAAATACATAACTATTTGCGATATAATAATAGTCGAATGAAATTTAAACAAAACTGGTTTATAGGTTATCTCTGTTTTCATTGAGCACTTTTGAAGGGCTGTTAAGTTTGAGCCACAATAAAACTCATCAGTTTGATTGCAGATTTTCGTTTCAAAAGGTAAAGACTTACGAACACAACTCTTTTTGAAATAGTTTACCATTTTATGGCAAAACTGATGAACATGTAAAAAACTTTTGGTACATTGTTCGTAAATATCAGAACTTTCAGATAATTTAATTATTTCATTTTTATTTAAATAAGAATCTCGATCATCATTGCGACACGTTCTTGCAACATTTAATTTATCATTTATGCCTAATATTGGTCCCATGACTAATAACAACAATATAAATATCACTACACTCAGTTTAGCACGAGATGAAAACATGCTTGGTACAAGTAATACGGCAATACATAGAGCATGACGAATTGATAATGTCACAAACATAACCAACACTAACAAGAAAACAATAGAGGACAAAACAATGCTTAATATCAAATCAAGTCTAGCAATTAAATATAACAATAATGAAAGACTTGATGCAATTGCCAGTGACAAAATAAGCCAAACAACAAAAGGAATAGCAGGATAACGAGATTGTGCAAGAAAGTAATTATGAAGAGAATCAGGCGGTTCGTAATAAATTTTTTGGTCATCGTTTTTATTAGTTTCTTTAAAATCATAGCTATATCGTTGCCAAAATTTTGAAATAGATGATTTTTTTTTATTTTTACTACTGGGTAAATTTTGCTCTGCATTTACTGTAATATGAGGAACTTCGTAACCTGCTTCATCTTGCTTACTTATGACAGGAGCTTTGAGTAACGGAGCACTCTCACCACTAGAGTGACTGTTATAACCTTCGTCGTTGGCGAGCTTTAAATGAGAGACACTGTTACTTTTTTTTACAGTTTGATCAACAATAGGCGGATTTTGTAGGTTGTCTCCATACATTACTTCTACATATGTACACGGGCCACAATTATCAGGTTGATTTTCATAATTTTTTGCTAACAATGAACTAAAAATGTTCCCTCGGCAAGATTTTGTGGAATCTTCTTTTTTTTCTTGTTCATACAACGGAGATTCTGTCTCATTCATACTTGATACTTTATTTCATATATTTGTCTATGAAATTTAAATTCTGAAATACTTTAAAGATTCTTTATCAACGTTTTTACTTTGAAAGTTCCATATATTTAAGCTACAATACAATAAGACCTAAAACCATAGACACAATAAAAAAATAAAAAATAAAAAACAAGTATAAAATAGTGATTAGCAAAACTATACATATAAAAGTTATATGTGTTACGGCAAAAAAAAAAAAAAAAAAATGTAATTAACACAAACGATAGTAATAGTTTTTATTGAATAAATAAAAAAATCTTCATGATTATGCAATTGGAATTAGATTTGAATTATACATTTTTAGTTGCAGGATTAAAGTACGCATAAACCAAGTAGATAAAAATACCATCTACTTTGTTTATTAAAAACATAAAACATAGCAACATTAAAATAATCGTTATTCAAAACAAGTGCTAGCAAATTAATACTTTTTGAAATATTTAAATCAAAAATAACAGATTTTTTATATAATCTAAATAAACTCTCATATATCAAAAAAAATACTTTATTTAAAGACAATATCAAAAACTATTATTTTACTTGAACTTTTCATTCTATTTACAAAATCAATGTCTAATAAACATATAAAGTGATAGACAATATGGCACAATAATTATCTAAAAAAGATTTTTTCAGGATGTTTGATGATAAAGCCTTACCATTTTAAACTTTTTATTTTTAATTCATTAAAAAAGTTTTGAGAAAAGTTAAAAAATATATTGCAAGCCAGACTTTGAATGAAAAAAAAGTGCAAAAAGTCTTTATTGTAGTGACGAAGCACTTGTAGCAAATCTTTAGAACCTAGTAAGTACTCAAACCAGTTTATTTAAAATTTGATACCTATTTTAGCAGCAATATTATAGTGTATTTAATAGTTTTAAAAAAGTTTGCTCTTAGTGGAGTACATAAAGTTAAAAAGATAAAATGTAAATCAGAAGAAAACTGTTTTTGCTTTTCAATGTCTTCACTGTTCTTTTGAGACCTAGGTTAATATATAAACAGGCCTGTAGGAACAAAAATTATATTTGGAGGGGGAGAGGGGAGGGGCGGACAGTGCTGGATTAAGGGGCACCGAAACAGTTTTAAGGACTTTTTTTTTTAAGTCATTTTTTCAGACAATTTTTTAAAGTTATTTATTTAAAAAATTATTGGGATGGGAATGGGGTGGCAAATGCTCCTTCTGCCCCCCCCCCCCTTCGTTGCTACAGGCCTGTTAAAAGCAATCACAATAGTGACATAAAAGATTGTCTTATCTTTTAATGGAATCTTCTAAAAAATAAAAAATAAAAATTTTTAGTGAAAAGAATGTGACAATAATTTTTTTAATTTTAATTACAACAGCAAAATAAGTTGCTGTTGTAATTAAAATTAAAAAAAACAATAAGTTAGCAAATAGAAAAGCAATACACAAGTAAACTACAAAATAAAAAGTTGAAATTCAAATATAGTTTAATATTGAAGAAAAGGACATTGACATTTTTAGAAATTAGATAACAGTTCTTGTCACACTACATTTTTTTTTTTTTTTTTGAGTCAGAGGTTAATAAAATTGGAAACATTAAAAACATATTGTATCACATTTCCTTTTATTCCCGAAATAGATATATTTATTCGTGGAGTGTGTAGAAAATGAAGATTTTTGTGATGAAAGAAACAAATAATAATAAACTAGTTTCTTTACCAAGAAAACTGTTCAAAAAAAGAAAATAAAATACCATGATTTAAAGACAGCTCTTCCTAAGTCATATCTTAAGTATATATAAAACCCTCAACTGAATACAAATGAAATCTTTGCTAGAGATTGGGTAGAATCTAAGGGAATCCTTAAATCTCTGCTTTGTTATCAATAAAAAAAAAATAAAAATAGGTGAGATGTTTAGCTTTCAATGTATGATTCTAATGTGTTTTCCAATCTGAATGATTTCCTTTGAATTCATTTTTGAATTAAAAAAAACAAACCAAACCAACTATGTGTTTAGAGAAACACCATAGATTGCACCATAAACGCGATTGCAGATATAATCATTTAAAAGATTAAACAATAAATTTAAGCAAGTTTCGTGTTGAAAATTTTAATAAATTAGGAACTAACGCACAAGTTTTTTACAAAAGTTTCTAATAAATTTCTGTTTTATTTATCAAGATATTAAATTGTTTAACTCATCAATATTATCTTAACAATAATGTTGATCTAGAAATAAAACAAAACCATTCTTGTCACACTGTGATAAGATTTTTTCAATGGTTTTCTTTTTTTTGTTTTAACAAGATATTAATGTAAAAAAAAAGCAAAAAAAAAGTTGGGTGAATTATATCTATTAAACATTGAAATACAGATAAAAATTATTAATTAAGGATTAAGATAAAAATTATTAATTATGAATTATATTAAATATTAACAAAAATTATGGAAGTTGTCATGATGAACATAAGATGCTCTGTGGTGATTATTCTAACATAAAAGATTTAAAAAAAAAAACTCAACCAAAAAAATTTCATAAATGGTTTGGTTACAACAATCTTCAAAGTAGCCAAAGAGCTACTAAAAAGCCTTTCTTAACATGACAAGCTAGTGAGAAAGCCTTTCTCAACATGACAAGCTACTAAGAAAGCCTTTCTCAACATGACAAACTACTGAGAAAGCCTTTCTCAACATGAAAAGCTACTAAGAAAACCTTTCTCAACATGACAAGCTACTAAGAAAGCCTTTCTCAACATGACAAATATATTAAACCTTTAATACAAAAATATCTGAAAACAAAGTTGTTTTACAAAGAAATGGAAGACAACAATTGAAAAAAACAACTGTTATTTGAAATATGTTATAAAAATGTTTGCTATATAAAAATTGGATGTTAATTTTATATGTAAAATTGTAGAACCTTAAACAGTGATTAAAAATCATTTAAATAGAAAAAATTAATATATAACTATACATATAATTAATATATAACTATAGTATATAAATATAGTATTAATTAAAAAAAAAAAGAAGGAAATTATTCATTATTTCTATACATATAATTAATAGTAAACATATAATTAATATATTAACTATACATATAAATAAACATATAATTAATATATAAATTAAAAAAAAAAAAGAAAGAAATTATTTCAACTAGTTATATAAATAATGACTTGACGTAAACATATTCTTTCAAGAATATATCTGTTAAGATGTTATAATATATTTTAAGATACTATAATATCTTTATTATATTATTATTAAATCTAGTTTCCAAATCTCTTTTTTTATAACTAAATTATTTTCCAAATACAAAAATTAAATGATTTTGTTTAAAAAATTCATTTTTTCTATGTAGATTCAAGGTTTTTCTTAAAAAGAAAAAAAAAAAAAAATAATAAATTCATAATAAAAACATTTTAATAAAAATTTTTAACTTACAATACAAAAGCAATAATGAATAATAAATCTTAAACATAAAAAAATATTAAACTTTTACAAATATATACATCATGCTTGTCATAATTTATTATAGTGAAGGGTTCTTTTAAAATGTATTAAGAAAGGACAAAATTCTCACTAATCCCAGTCTCCACTGTCAACGGATTCTGCATGACTGCGAGAAGGAGCTGGAATCATTGCTGATATCTTTTCCATAGGTGAATATGATTCAGTAGGTTTACTATCTGACTGTTTCGATCCAGAGATACCTTTTCTTCTCATTGAAAGCTTACTGAATAAATCACTCATTAGATCTCCACCATTTCCAGTTGCAGGTACTTCTTCCTTTTCTTTTTTTCGTGCCATTTTTCTATCTTTTACACTTTTCAATTTAGTCTTTCCAGTACCACCAGCAGCTCGAATAGCTGCAAGGAGACTAGATCTTCCACCATCATCATCATTTTCTGGCAGTGCATCTTAAAATTACATAAAATATTACTTGACAATAGCATAAAACTACAAAACAAACCAGATTACCATGGTAACAGATTACTATGGTAAAAAGATTACAGATTACAATAGTATTTATTTTCCCACTATTACTAAATTAACAAACCTTAAAACAAAACAAATAGCAAGCAAACACAGTATTTATAAAGAACACCTCTATCATTTAAAATATATATTTAAAATGGTAGAGGTATTCTTTAGCCATGTAAAGACATAAAAAATAAACTTTGAAACCACTACATTCAATGTGGTTAGATCTCATAAACCTTAATGCAGTAGGAGTTTATAAAACTTTGACTACAATTTTCTACTAATCAATTTGAATTTGATGGTATCCAATAATGGATATAATGAAAATAATTATTTTTATTATTGCCATGGGAAAAAAAGGTATCATTTTTTTTGTATATTAAAAAATATTAAACTTAATTGATTCAACTAAAATAATAAAAGTTATTTAAATTATATAAAGTTATCTTAATTGATGCATATTAAAAGTTATCTAAAACTTGATTTTGAACAAACTGGGACTTAGTGAACATCACAAAATTGTAACTGCTGTTATAGTTTCACTTGATTCAATTTTAATAAACAATTAGAAAGTATATTGACTGATAAACATACTTTAAAAAAATTATTTTACATTTTTAAAATAAAGATGATCGCTTATCTCTGAAAAATTTCACGTGTGCTCATATGCTTCGCTTATCTCTGAAAAATTTCATGCGTGCTCAGTGCAAGGGAAAATGATTATCATACACTGCTGATAAAGTGTTGAGGGCTTAAATCAAAATATAAAAATATACAATAGCTCATAAGAAGATTCTATCTTCCTTGATAATATCAATTTATACTCATTTTTATTAAGTATACTATTGCGTTTCAATCGTTTACTTTTTGTTACTGTATTTCTACTATTTTTCATTTTTATTGCTTTTTTTTACTTATGTAGGTTTTATATAAGTAATTAAAATAAAAATTTTAACTGTAAATTTAAAAAATATAAGTTTAACAAAGTGTTATTTATTTTCCTCTACTTAAATTTGTTGTTTAAGTATAGGAAAACAACTAACACCCTCGTTAAATTTATATATTGAGTTGGCTAGAAAGTAGTAAGCATTTCTACCTTCTCCCAAAAATTAGACAAGGAACAAATGCTGTTTACGAAGAACTCTTTAGGGTTTGAATCAAAGAAGGGATTAGGATTAGTAAGTGACCAACTTGAAATTTGATGGTGGCTGGGTTTGATAAAAAATAGCCGGGGCCAGGGCTGGCTTTGTGACTAGGGCTGCATAAACATTGATACATCCTAAAGTATATGTTTTTGTTTCAAAAGATGCATGTATATTTATTTACAAAAAAATCAACATGATCCACATGATGATGATGATGATGATGATGATCATCATCATCATCATCATCATGTGGATCATCATCATCATCATCATCATCATCATCATCATCATCATCATCATCATCATCATCATCATCATCAACAACATCATCATCATCAAGCTTAATCCTTCCCCTTTTTTGCTGTTTCTCTAATATAAAAAATTTTAAGCAAATTTTTCCATAAAATTTAATGTTCATACCATGTAACGCACTTTTCAAAAAAAATATACATTACCATTGACTATGACCTCCTCCCAAAAATTAGACAAGGAACAAATACTGTTTATATAGAACTCTATAAAGGTTTGAATTCTTACTTCTACCTCTACCATTTTCTCCTAAAGCTGCTACCACTCTACATGCTGATACCTTAACCACTTTGATCTTTTCTGAAAAACATTGTGCAAATCAACATTTTTTCTAATCTCTGTCTAAGATTGTGGCTTTTTTTCTAAGATTATACCTCTTTTTCACTTCTTGTTAGAGTCAAACCATACATCCATCTGATAATCATCTTCTTTTTCAGCAAATACTACACCATATAAATAATAAAGTTTATACAAATATGTAAAGATATTGTATGCCAGCATCTAAATAAATAACAAACATACATGTTTAAATCCATATACTCATATGGATATTATGTATACATAAATGAGCCTTATACCTAACCTCCAAGATCCAATTAGGTATGGAAGATTATAGAAACTTTTAGAAAATCTTTAACAGTGTCATTAACTAAAGTAAGTCTAACATTCTATCTCTAATTCATGGGTCTGATTTTATTAGTTCTGCCCAGAATAAGGCTGAACTATCTGCACTTGAAACTTTTCCTCTAATTTGATTGCCATTTCAGTTAAGCAAGTTACTCAAAATTGGACATGCAAATCACTTTAGCTTCCATGTAAAAAGTCAATTCGTAAATTTAATTTTCTATGGCTTGTGGTTCAGACAGTATTTTCATTTGCTGACAACTCAACTTTATACTCCTGTATTGACAAAAAGTCATCACTTTTTGATACTTAGAACAAGCAGCTAATCAGAACAAGCAGCATATCTTTCATTAGATCTCTCTTCTGTAACAGCTTAATTTTAACTCCAACAAAACCTAGTTATTTACTGCAAACAACTATTGCAATATTGTTGACATTCTTATATTGAAGAATAACAACCCTCTCACTCTTGGACAAGGTTCAAAAACATATTGTAAATGTAGTTGGACCTGCTTTACCTGCCAAGCTTGAGCCACTCTCCCATCATTGTAAGTTTGTATCTCTTTCTTTTTTCTACAAATACTAACACAATTGCTGCTCATACAAGCTGTAATCTCTAGTTCAATCAACCAAAACTCTCACTTGGCTTAACCACTTGGTATCAACCAAAACTCATTCTCACTTGGCTTATCATTCAGCAAATTTGCATTATTTCACTGTATCTGTTCCTCCATGCTATAAATTTTTCTATTTATCTCGTTTATTTCTTCGCACATCAACAAAATCTCAAAACTCTCACCCATCTTCATGTTTTCCTGACTCATACAACCTTATCTTTTTAAGTTTTCAGTTAACCATTTTTCTTTCTCTTTAACGCTATCTTTTGTTTTTGAGTAACTTATAACTTAATAGTGGTTGCTTGCAACCTAGTCAGAAGTAAATTAGTTTAAATATATATAAAAAATATGCCAGTATTTAAAAGATAGTATATGTATGCATAAATTTATAATATATAGAAAATTATAAATTTTTCCTAGCCCATGCTGTAAACCCCCTGCTAAATCTTATAATTTTGCCAGGGCAAGACTGAGTTTGTAAAAAGTCCCATTTTTAGGCCTTCTAGCCTTGTTAAGTATAAATTTCTATTTGTCAAAATGATGAATTAACAAGTCTTATTATATATATACTTTAATGATTTTGGTTTTCAACACAATCATTATGTTGTTTTAATACTGAAAAAAAATTTGAAACATAAGGCTTTTTTTAAAGTGGTCACTGATGTTTTAAAAATATTAAACAAGATGTGTGCAGTACAAACATTAAGTTCAAACTTTCATTAATAAATTTTTAACTACTCAAGAAAAATTTTAACTTTCTGGCTTGTTTATTATTCTGAAAAATTCAAACTAATTTTTAGAAATAGTATATAGTTAAGAATCTGCAATTATGGAAACTATTTTTTAGAATTTTTAAATTTAACATATTCGCTGAGTATGTCAGTAAAACTTTAAACATTTATTAACATTATTAACTGGTGATCTACTTACCTTGATTAGGTAGAGTGCTAGGCGGTGGTGGTGGTGGTGGAGGCATTGCTGGTTGATCTTTTTGTACTGGAGCAGGTGGTGGTGGTGGAGGGGGTGGTGGTGGAGCAGGCATAAACACATTAGATGATGGTGGTGGTGGTGGCGGTGGAGGTGGTGCTGAAACTTGAGATTGTGGAAAAGTAACTGAAGGTGGAGGTGGAATATCAATAGTTTCTCTACTTTCCTCACTTAACACATTTGGAAGTTCAGGAATATTCATTGGTAACGAAGGAGCAATCGATTTCCCAACATCACCACTGAAATAATTTTAAAATGATATAAACCCTAGACCAAAAATTCATAACATAAATAAATTTAAAAATAAGACTTAATAAAAATAAAATAATAAAATACTACTAATAAGACTATAGCTTTTCAAAATTATTTACATACTTATAGTCATTTCAGTAACTACTTATACAAAATAAAACTAATTAATAAATTAATAAATAATCAGTAATTAACTATTACATTAACAAATAAAAAAATCTAATTAGTTAACAAATTAATAAATAAAATTATTTAATAAATAAATTAATAAACAAATTTAGGTATTAATTAATAAATTATTACATAAAATTAATTTTAATTAAAAAAAAAAGTGCTACAATCGCAAACTTCTTAAAATACTATAACAAATTATTATAAGCATAAATTTTTAGGAAAACTAGAAAATAAACTTTTTTAAACAACTTGGAATAACACTTTCTTCATATTTAAAAATGTAAATTTAGAAGCTACCACAACTGTGATTTGACTATGCAAATGGAATGTGCAAGTTATTTTACTATTTTTCTGTCATCAATTTTCTAATAAAATTTCTGAAATGTGTGTGTGTGTGTGTATGTGTGTGTGTGTGTGTGTGTGTGTGTGTGTATAGCTTATATATATATATACTATAGCATATATAGAACAGCAATTGTTTATTAGTTTTGCTCAACTTTATAGCATACAAAGTTGATGCCTCATCCCTAACTCTCAGTTAATGTAGCAGCACTCCTTTGCAACAGCAGGCTATAAGATAGTCAATGCATGTACTAAAGCCCCCTGCAGCAGACTATTTTATCTCATTATTTTTTCTAAACACGCATTTAGTTGTGTGTGTGTGAATATATATATATATATATATATATATATATATATATATATATATATATATATATATATATATATATATATATATATATATATATATATATATATATATATATATATATATATATATATATATATAACCCTCGGGATTAGGGTCGACATTCGGTAATGCCAAGCTAACTGCCAACCTCAAACACTTTTTGAAGTGTTTGAGGTCGGCAAAAAAATGCCAACCTTGTTTCAATGTTTTATGGTAAGACCTTTGTATCAAATTTTTTTGCCAACCTGACGCTGACCTTTAAAAGATTGAGGTTGGCAAATTATTGCTGACCTCAAACTTCCTAATTCCCAGGGTTCTATATATATACATATTTATATATAATATAAAACTCAATCATAATGATAAAAATATGAACAAATAAAAATATTATTTCCTTTAGCTTAAAAAAACACCATGCCTGTATGATATATCATCAACAACACCTGGTAAGTCAGGCAAATAAACTGGAACATCAATTTCAGGAACTGCTCCTAACCCTGGCATATAAAAGTAGTTATCACCATTACCACGCTCCAAATGTTCAGGGTTTGTTATTGTGCTTGGTGCAACACCAATTTCTTCATCTTCTCCATCCAAACTTTTACGAGTGCGAGTAACAGCTCCTAAATCAAAATCAAAATAACATATTTATTCTATGACTGGAATAATTAACATATTTATTCTATTACTGGAAATTTGAAAAACACTATGAACTATTAAAAAGCAAAGAAACAAGTGAAATGAGTGCATGTTGATAATAGCTTAAAAACCTTTATATTCAGATTATGAAAACATAAAGGAGACAATTCCATAGCATTTGATATTTGAAAAAAATGACATGTTTATGGAGCATAAAGGAACAGTATTAAAAAATGTGACTTTACTGAATGATCACGCAAGATTGTTTTTTGATTGGTGGAACAAGTTATGATTGCTCAATAGAGCAGCAACCATGGTAGTATTTGTAGATACTATCAGAGGCTAAAGCAGATCAAACAACATTTATAACAGGTTTTTTGACTGATATTGAAAGAGTATCAATAAACGAACTCGCACAAATATAATAGCAGCATTCCATTCAAGCATAGATAAAAGAATTTATAGAGCTAGAGAGTATTATCAGTGGAAAGAAGAAAATGTAAAGTAGAGGATTTGGCAAAAGTGTCGCCATTCGTTAATATAAGACAAAATGTAGATGAAATGGCTCCTCATTGCCAGAGAGAGCTACACACACAGCAGAGACCATTTTTCTTCACCATTTTTCTTCAAACATTTCAAAGATTGTTTAGATTTTCTTTTAAAAATATTTTCAGAAAAGCAAAAAATGTACAAAATTTATTTTCTAGTTTTTCCTTTTATTTATTTTTTTCCATTATTAGAAAAATAATACATTGTAAGTATCTAGACAGACAAAAAATGCACTTAATTAAAATATAAATAACACTGCATATTAAGAATATTCAATAATTTGTATTCAATTTGTATTCAAAAAAATGTTTTTGTCTACTTAAATTAACTTAACTTTCTACATTAGTGTTGTTAAGCAAAGAAAGTGTTATGCAACATGTTCACATGCTCTCTACAAATACAATTTAAAAACTTGTTATTTACTGTAAATTTGAATAAATCAGGTAAGTTTTTAAAGTCATAAAGCTTACAAAATTTTTACAGAAAAAATTTTATACCCACTATACATATACTTCTCTAAATATGGCCACTTTCAATGAGCAAAAATGAATGCATAAGTAAACCCGTAAATGTAAAAGATTAAGGAGTTTCATATGAAACTATAGTTTCTCTTGCTGTTGTGTAGCCTGTCAAAAAAAAAAAAAAAAAAAAAAAAAAAGAAACCTGTATATTTAACTTTATTAGACCAAATTACTTAATTTAAAAATTATTTTTATCCTGATTGCTCTTAACACAAAATTTAAATTTGCTTTCTATAAAACTTTTTTCATTTCCTAAAAATGAATAGAAACATCTAAAATTCTGGAGATATCAGGAAAAATAATAATCTCTGTAATTCAGAGCAGAAAACTTTTTCTCATTTGTAAAGACTATCATATTTAGTTTTTAAAGTTTAACATTTATGATTTTACACTTGTGGTTTGATGGGTATAAAAATGAGCATCCTCCTCAACTGTAGTGGCCTATTACATCAGGTACCAAGTAAGCAACTTTTCACACAAGAGATAAATTAAAGCCCCATCATTTTCATGACAGTACCATGCTCAACTTATTTTTCCCTAATAACTACTGTTGTGACAGCATTAAAAAATGAATAATAAATTAGTAGCTTCTTAAATTGTAGTGATACATTAAAAGTGAAAAAACTTTGACAGAAAAGCAGCAGCACTTATAAATACAACTAAACAGAAGAAATAGATGTAAAAAGGTGCTGTCTGATGCTAAGCTCCATTATTCCCAGTTCACTAAATCTCATATCTTATCTCAGAAGTTAGGCTCTAGAGACTTGGAAAGTAGCATTACAAACAAAAATAGGTTTAACATTCCATCTTTCATTCATGAGACTGATCTTATTACCTCTCCCAAAGATAAGGCAGAACTGTTTGCAAAAAACTTTTCTTCTAATTTGCTCCAGACAACATTTCTGTCATAGTTTTACAAAATTGTTCTCCAGAACTCTCTATTACTCTCTTGAAACTAATTGCAGCGATATTTAAATTGGAAAGACAAGAGCAATTGCTTTTGACATATTTAAAGCTTTTAACAAAGTTTGGCATCCGGGTCTTTATGTTACGCAGCTTGTATTTTATGTATGAAATCTCTATTTTTATACGTAAAATGCGAGCTGCAAAATGCTTTTTAACATGCTCTGCCATAGTTCAAGGTTTTGAGTTAAGCCGCAATTACTTATTTAGCAAGGCGTGTTTGTCTAGAAGAGAGTTAAAGCTAGTGAAGTCTTTATATGATATATTAGTATTACCATTAGAGACTTTGAATACTTTATCTAAATTTATTTTCAAGTAATTATTCCTGAACTCTTTAATGTTTAGTTTTTTGAAACTTAGAGGAAAAATATCACTTTTAGGAAAATTATTATTTTATTTTTTAAAGATGAATAAATTAGATACTGGGGCAAATGATATTTTAACAGTTAGATTGCCAGAGTAAATGTCATTAGAAATTGAAATAGAAAATATATTATTAATTAAAGTACTTGAGTGATTGATAATTCTTGTCATTAAGGATATAAAAGGAAGAAAGTTGTTTGAAGCAATGGTATTTAAATACTCTAAGATTGATCAACCTGAGTTTGCTTTTATAAAATCTATATTAAAATCATACATAGTTTTATACTTTTAACAGAAAGTATTTCAAATAGAATAGCTAGATATGAAAAATAAAATTCAATAAAATCCATGTTAGAATGGCAATAAACACAGTATACTATGATAATAGGGAAAATGATTTAAATGAACAAAGACTTCAAGAATTGAAGTTTGTACATAACTAAATCATTTCTAGATTTATAAATTAGTTTATTAGAAATATAGACACAAATGAGGTTTTTGTTGGAGTATGTTCATAAATATATTCACTATTGATAATATTAATTAGATATATTGGAGTTGATGGCAGTAAATTGTAATAAAATTAACTAGATATATTGGAGTTGATGGCAGTAAATTGTATTTCAGCTTAGTTTCTATTATTCTGATTACACTGAATTCATAATTTATTAGAGATAAAAGTGAAGTTAATTCATCAAAATCTTCGACTAATGAAGGAATGTTCAACTGAAATAGAAAAAATAATGTTTAAAGTGTTAAAATTTTTTTATCTATTTATTTACAATTGATTGGATTCTTAACTATGTTCATATAATTATCATCGTTGTTATTTTTTTAAATTTTTAATGTTAATTCACTTCTCTGAGACCATGTAGGCCACTAAAGTCGAGGAGGCTACTTAAAATATGGTTACAACCCTCTCTCAACTTAATAACTCTGAAACACACACCTGGTCACTGGTCGGAGAAACAAGTTGAGCACGTTACTTTTAGCGACATGGTGGGGATCGAACTCAGAGCTTCTTGCTTATACCACTACACCACTACCACAAAATATTTAGCTGATAAGTAAAGAAATTTACTTATTAGTTGATTAAAAGTATAGTATTCTTAAACGCAAGGAAACAGTGAAAGGTCATTTGGGAGTTCAGTGAGATGTTATATAATGTCAATTGAAGTTTGAAGATATAGTTTGTTATTGGATATAGAACTAAAAGGAAGAGTTTTTTGATAATCTAAAATCAATACTATTCAAAAAACTACTTTTTTGTGGATTGCACTTGAGCAGAGGTTGCATTGACGTGAAATATGATTAGAACAAATACTTTTATCTCAAATTTTGGATAGTTTAAACATAATAACATAAATTAGTTTAAAAATAAATATATTGATATAAAATATTAACAATGTTATATTTAATAATAACAATAACAATAATAGTAACAATTACAAAAATAGCAATAACAATAACAATAGTGACAGTAGTAGTAGCAATTTATAATAAAAATGTAAATACTATAAATATGATTAACACTCAATAATAAAGTATACAATTATAAAGCTAATAATTAACAATATGATAAAATAGAAATGTAAAAAAAAATTTAATAAGCTAAAAAAACAAAAAACAGTTAAATACAATTTCAAATATAAGCGTTAATGAATAAATTTATAAATACTTCTTAAGTTTCTTTCCTTTTTTTTTTTTTTCTTACTTGACTTGCTGATGAATGGTAAACAATTAAAAGTTCATATTTTGTTCTTACTTTTTGTTTCTTTTTTTTAATCTGTAAGCAGATACATTCCGCCACATTTAATTTTTATCACTTTTTTTAATTTATTATTTATTGATTAATTTACAATTTTAGTCATTTATTTCAATTAAAAGATTAGAAGTTATCTTTTTGGCTTTTATTTGGAAATACCTTTATCTTCTGCTCTATTGTTAATTTTTCTCTCTTTATTGAAATATTTTCTTTCTTTCCTTTCTTTTTTCTCTTCTAGCTATCAATCATTAGAAAGATACATCTGCCAATGGCAGATGTGTCTTTCTAATGATTGGCTATCTAATGATTCCTAATGAATGGCTATCTAATTAATAAAATTCAATGCTAAAGTAGCATCTCTCCTTTAATTATCGAGTAACATTAAACCTTAATAGCAATATTTATTAAATTAATTTCTAAGTCAATAATAATTTATCATTATTATTGACAATGGAAATGTAAAGTGTGTTTAGGAATGGATAATGACTTAAAAATGTCTTGTAAATTTATTAAATTATAACTACAAGTTATTTATTGTAAGGAAAAAAATATTTTATTAATTTAAATGATTATTTCTCTGATCAACAAAAAAAGATGGTAGAAAAAAAGATGGTAGAAAAAAACATTAGACAACTAAAAAAAAAACAAGTATTTAGCAAATATAAGCTAATAGAGGTTTTAAACATTAAAACTTTTTTATTTCTGGGGTATTCAATAAAAAAATGAGACAAATTTTTCAGGTAACCCACTGTTTCAAATTTTCTTGATACTTTAAAAAATTGCTCACCTTCAACACATATATTATCTTAATAGTTACTTATGATTCAGCTATTTTAACAGATTTTTTGTTTGTTTGGTGGCTATCTTAGTTTTGATAGTGTTTTTTATTGCACACCTATACATGTAATCAAACTGAAACATGCACATATATAGCTTTGAAAATAAAAAATCAGAAAATTATGATAACTATGGAAAATTGTACTAATTTTCCATAAAAATAGAACTACTAAACCTGATTAAATATTACAGTAGCATCCTTAAGGATGCAAACATTGATTTATATAAATGCCTCTGTTTTAAATCAAAAAAGGGAGAAAAGCTATTTATTTCCTAATAGGTGAAACGACTTTATTAATTTTTATTTGATACAAATTTCAGATGCCAATCAATTAGGAAAACAAAACTATGATACATTTCAAAAATATTTAAGGTGTTGGTGCAGCTTTTTTGGTGTTTAAGATGTAGTAGTAGTAGTAGTAGTAGTAGTAGTAGTAGTAGTAGTAGTAGTAGTAGTAGTAGTAGTAGTAGTAGTAGTAGTAGTGTGGTAGTGAGGTACAAAATTTAAACCCACTATGTTACAGGAATACCACCCTTAGCTTATTTCTCTGCAAAGCAATCTTGTTCATCGAGGTTCTTGTTTTCAATGTCATATGATTGAAAGGTTGTAACACATAAATTAAAAATAAATAAATAAATGAGTTAGAACTCAAACCCCAAATGTAAGGGCAATGAGTTATAAAAAATCTATATGACAACAGAGTTCTTCTTAAACAAATGTATCTGATGTAAGTGATGATCTTGATAATATATGATAAAAGTCTGAGATAATGGGTTAAAATCCTTTTTTTTTTCATGGAATAACTCTGCTTACTTTTAAAACATCAATAACTGTGTGGGACTATTGTTACATGAGTGTGTAAAAAAACTATTAAAAAATTTTTTAATATACATTTAATTCAGTTTGCATTTATTAACTTTGAACCAGAAGCAGTAGGTCTAAACTCCAAATATATGTATTCTTATGTCAAATAAGAATATTTTTCAAAAAAATTATAGCAATCGAAGCATAGGAAAAAAAAATACCATATAAAATTTGCTTCTCCTACTACCAATATTTACACCAACAATTCAAAGACAATGAGTAATTAAATATATTTTTTTTTTACTTAATTATTCTAAATTTAATTTTAATGCCAGGTTTTAAATATTATCTAAAAATCTTTTAATTTTAAAAAGCTATGACTATGTGATGTTTTCACCCTTCCCTGAATAAAGGGGGTGTAAATTTTTAACAAATTTTTAATACATACAATTATAATTCAAAATATATTTACATATATAAAAACACAAAACATCGATTTGTATCAAAAAAAGTATATTAAAAAAAAAATACTTATCAGAATGTAAATTAATTTTGAACTCATTGACTTTCTAAAAAAACTAATAATAATATCGAACTATCATAATGTTATAAAGGTAAAAAATATAAAACAACTTTTAACTTAAAATAAAATAAAATAAATTGTACATTATATTTTAAGTCCAAATGATCCATAAAAAATAAATATACTTAACAACTGAAATTAAATAGCATAAATTAATAAAAAAAATACCAGCTAATGGATCCATAATAACATATTTCTTGTATGGATTTTCAGATGTATTTAACAGTAAAAGTGAACTAACGGAATCAAGTGCTTTAGGTAACTTTCCTAAGCCTTCCCTTTTTTTATCATCATCATCATTTTTTAAAACCTTTGTAGTCACACTATAAAACTGAAGTTTTTCTTTAAGAGCATTGTCGTTAAATGAAATATGGCGCACGGATACCTGATTGGATGATCTTTTAATTTCATTTAAATCATTATTAATATGAAAAATTGATCTGTATATATCTAAGGTATCTGCTGCAGGATATTTAGCACTGGAAAAAACTCTAATAGCTTTTCGACTACCTTTTAATGTATCAATTTTAATTTGTGCTAAACCAGCTCTTTGATTAATATTATCCAACTTTTGTTTTAAACTATCAACTCTATCTGTAATTCGCTTAAAAACATCTTCTGTAACATTTTCAAGATATTCTAATGTATCAGCTAACTGAAAGATATAGTCTTCCTGACGTAAATCAGCAGAAATTACTGGTATATTGTATACTTGAACTGGTGCCATTTACTTTTAATAGTATTTATAAATCTACATATTTAAACTTTGATATTTAACAACAATATTATAAAATAATCATTTTCAAATTAACAATGCCAACCTAATAAACAATTTAGTTGAAATTAAACTGCTATCGATGTTTAAAAGTAATGTAAAATAAAATAAATAGTAGACAACATTATAAATAAAAATAAAACCAACAACAACAAAAATTTAAACTTTATCTAAGTTTAAAAAAGCTTTAAAACAAATGGATTTTTGCATTATTTTATAAATCTATGCATTTAAAATACTTTTAAACTTATACACATAAAATTTATGCAATATGATATGTATACGTTAAGTTAAATTGGAACAGGTATAATATTGTATTGTTATGATAAACATGTAACAATGTAATATAATACCTGTTCCAATTTAGTGTAATGTACACATAAAACAGTAACAATATAAACTCAGATTTTTTACAATACCTAAGATATGCATTTATATTGAAACCTGAGATAAATACTTAACTAAAAACTCAGAAAATACATTTAAAAAAAATAAGTTATGCTATCACTTTGAATATATTTTGTAAGAATATCACCAAATGAAAATGAAAAACTTATTGATATTAAAAAATTATTATTTAAATATTGTATACTGTTGGTTTTATTAGTATAATTTATTTTTTCATGTTAAAGATAACCTATTATTTAAATGCCACATTTTTTTAAGGGTGCTAATTGTGACACACTAATTTCACAGACTGAATTGCATAGGTTTAATATAATGATTATTATATCTTTTTTTTTAATTTCTACAAAAATATTACTATTATTAAAAAGATTAAAGATTGAAATTTTGAAAAAATTGGTAAAAATAGAATTTTCTTTATAAAAACTTAACTATTCTTGCATTTTTTACACCATATAAAAAATGAAAGAAAAGTTAAGTTTTATGGTGGTCATATATAAATTATATGTAACCTGATTGACGTTTACACTATACAATTTATTTTACACTGCTATTATATTAATAATGTAAATTATTTTACACTGTTCAAAAAAAATTTAAATAAATAGGAGAGGCTGTTGCATTGACAGGATGACTCAGTAGTTAAAAGATATAGACTTAGATAATATCTAAAATTAAGGAAAGATTTATATCATATAATAATATTATTGGTATGATATTATTAATATTACAAAAAAAAAAGTTGATTTTTATGCATAATCTTTAAAGATTATGAGAAGATAGAGCTTTCTCTCTGCAGAAAACACGTTAGGAACCTAATTTATTAACAGTCTATTTCATAAATTTGAGAACTCTAAAACAGATGGATGCTGCGAACACATTTGTAAAATAAAATACTAATTTTTAATCTTTCCTGTTCCAATTTAGCGTAACGTATATGAACTCCTACCAAGCGCCAAAAATATGTATTTTTAAGTTTAATTAGATGGTTCGCGGATACTATACGTCTTTTAATTTGATTTAATTTGATTGCAATGGGACGCCTAAAAATAAAACTTATTTATGTTATTTGTGTATAGAATAGAAGACTATATTTTTTGTATCACTAAGTAGCGAAAGTTAGCAAATATCTTATCTATTTGCTGTGTTGAAGTATAGAATAGTCTTATTAACATAGTAGTCTTAGTAACATTAATATATATACAAGACACTTTATCAGTTTATCCACGTCAAGAATAAAACTTAAAATAAAGTGAAAAACAAAGTCGCTTGCACTGCCCTCCCCCCTACTTCCGGCGAAGTAGGGGGGGGGGCAGTGCAAAAGAAATTTTATATTTGGAAAGTATTTCTTAAAGTTTAATGCAGAGATAAAAATGTTTTTTGTATAAATATGAAACAAAAGTATAGAAAAAAAATTCTGAATGAGAATTAAAGAAATAGAATTACCTTTTAAAAATAGTTTCTAATGTTTGGCTCTCATTTTTTTTACAACAACTTCTACACAGCTTTAATTTTCACAATAAATTTCTTTAGTTTAATTGAAATAAATAGAAACAATATTATAATGATAAACAAATTTTTAAAACAAATATTAATTAAGTATTAAAAAAAATTTTAAATTATAAACTTTTTTATAAACTTTTTTAAAAGCTATTATTGTAACTTCTTTATAAGTTTTTTAAACTTTTTTATACTTTTTTGGATATTGATTGGTGTTAACCACAACTTTAAAGGGCTTTTTAAGAAATTTATTAAAAAGCTTATTGTCATACTTTGAACAAAAAATTGTGTGCGAGAAAAAGTTTTGGGGTAAAAAGAAATTAGGGTAACTATAGATAGAGATGTAATGTTTAAACTGCGTTTAAACATTAAATCTCTATCAATAGTTGGGTTTGCCTCTAAAAATGTGAAGCTACTTAAGTAACTTCACTTTTTTAAAGGCAAAGAAATTTACGTTGTCTATCTTTCAAAGTTATTTTTCAAAAAATTTTAAACCAGCTTATAGTAATTGAAATTCATATGGACTTACTTCACACTAACCAATGGTTTTAGTTGTTTCATTTTGCAAATAAAAAATTGATGTCTATTTAAGATGCTTGTTTTAATGTAAACCAATTATAAGATACACATTTTAACGTTTTTAATGTAAACCAATTATAAGATACATATTTTTTAAATAAGAACCAAGCAAATAGGCTAGTACTATAAAGTTTCTTATTTTAGGAGTTCTATTTTCCTAATCTAGTACTGAAGGTTTCTTATAAAGTTAAAATATACAAAAATATCGGTTTGATTGAATATTTTAAATAAACTTACACAAGATGTAGTTCAAGTTTTCAAAATGCATAAACCTGTTTCTACAAAATTAGGTAAGGATTAGTTAAAAGCTCTCAAAGAACTTAAATCTAGCAACACACATATTTATCCCTTTGGCAAAGAATCAGGCTTTGTTCGAATAAATAAAAATAATGGCTTTAAAAAAATTGATAAAACAGCAGATAAAAATTTAAAAAAGCAGATAAAACAGACTCAAGAAGATCTCATCATAGCTGTTGCTGTAAAAAGGATAGCAATCGGTGCTATATTACCTGATATAAATGACACTGATGACATACTGCTGGGTTTTGTTGACTCAGCAAGCTCTAAAGGTATTGAGCAGGCAGAAGTAATTTTGAACCTGCTAGATACCTGCTAGATACCTCAAACTAGAACACTTTAAAATTATAGATTAAATATTTACTTTTTGCCGTAGGCGTTTACTCTAAAATTAAATATTTAAACACAATGCGTCAAATACTGGAGTTCACTTTAAAGCTATTATAATTCTTAGCTTTATTCTCAACATTCCGCCTCTATGGTTTCTCTGAAGGAGAAAAATTCGTACTTTCTATGTAGAAGGTACACATTTTTCGCTTTATTGAGGCCTTTATTGAGAAGACAAAGAAAAGGTCTTTATGCTAAACTTCACATAATCTTCAGTCTAGGAGAAGGAAAACAACATAACAGACTAGGTTAGTTTTGATTAGAGTCAGATTCAGGTCGGACCACACATGCATCAATTTGCCAAAGAAGTACTGGAGTCCGGAAAAGGAGCCCTCGCCACGAAAAGATTTATCATGGTTGTATAAAAAAATTGTGCAAAATTTTCGTCAACCTGAAGCGTACCATGAACGTAACCTGAAGTTAGTTACGGTATAATGGTAAAATAATAAAAATTAGTTATAAAATTTGTTTAGACTAATACATTTTTCATACAATAAATATACAGTATAATTAATAAATATAACGTTAGCATATTTTGATGGTTACAAAACCTCATTCGTTAGGATACTCTCTATCTTCTACCCTGAGAATAACTAATATGGTCACGAAGATTGTAAATGAGGATGAAAAATTTATGCTCTGTTATTTATGGTCTTTAAAGCAATACTTAGTCGCAAACTCATCCTCAAATGATCTTGTTGCTTTGAAAAGTGCGTCTTGCATCATAGATAAATATTCCAAGCTTGGGTCTGCATTGGTTTCCAGTATACAAAGACATAACTGGTATTGGACTGAGATGTTTGTGCTATTATTTCCAGAGACAATATAAATAAACTTAAAAAATATTTTCCTAGCACAGAAAATCTATAAATCAAAAAATCTATTTGTTTAATTATACATTTTTAACTGATTCTGGAAAAAATCGTTTTAAGTCTAAATTATCACAAAATCTTTTTTGACAAACTTTCGTATCTTTATTATGGAGATGAGAAAAGTTCCCCTTTTAAAAAAATGGAATTTTACATATTGCTAAAAATAAGATCAGAAAGGAATTTATTAAATATATTTTTAATCAGGAACTTTTAAAAAACATTGAAATTTAAAACTTGACAATAGCTTTTAAGTTTACATTGAAACTTTTATCGCTAATTGAAATTATTTTATTCAGCAGTTTTTTTTTTGTCAAATTCAATTACAATTCAGTAATTGAATTTCAGCTGAAAATACTAGTATTTGCATTTAAAAAGACCTCGTCTCCCGACATTAACCCTGTTTTAAAAAAACTACAGTTTTATAGTAGAAAGAAACTGAAGTTTTTAAGGTTGTGCTTTGAATATATTTATTGCTGTCACAGCACATGCTAATATATACAATGACATTGCTAATTTATATTACCAAGTATACAGCGCTAACATAATGCTGCTGTTGGAACTTTTGATCATGTGTCAATTATTTTTTTTGTCTTGCGATTGTTTGATTTGTTATTAAGACATTATAACACAGATTGTATACAAACTATTTTTCTTGGTCCAATTTATTTATTATATTATTTAGATAAGTTTAAAGTATTGTTCTAACATTAATTTTATTAATGTTAGATAGTTTCTAAACTATGTTAGTGATAAATAGTTGCTATTAGCACAATAATTTGCATCACAAACGCAACTTAGCAAGTTGCTAAGTTGCGTTAGTGATGCAAATTATTTGTCTCTTACATAATTTATACTTAATTAAGTTAAGACAACGTTTAACTTTAATTTTCAAGTAATAAAAGGTAATGGATTTCATTTGACTAAAATACAGTGTCAATCAACCAAGTACATGTGTGATGGCTGCAGAAAACGT